TCAATTTCAGATCAAAGAAGTTGGTAGAATTTTTCTATTTCCTCCTCACTGGCTTTAGTGGTTGGTACTTAAATTTGAATAATATTGGTATTAACTGGGCTTCCCTGTAGGCACATGGATATTATCCTATCACAGACAGTGTTGTACCTCATGATTGGTCTTTTTTTAAAAATTTTTTTTTGTTGTTGTTGTTGTTATTGTCCTTGATATGTTCTTTTTGACAATGGATGCAACACCATTCCTCTTCAATTTGTCATTCCCAGCATAGTAAACCATGTAGTTGTCAGATTCAAAATGGCCAATACCAGTCCATTTCAGCTCCTAATGCCTAAGATGGAGTCCTGGTGTGGTGCTGTGGGTTAATGCACCTGACTGCAAAGTTGTTTGAACTGCAAGGTCTGCGGTTCAAGCTCACTAGCTGCTCCTGGGAAACCCTATACAGGGTCGCTGTGGGTCGGAACCAACTCTATGGCACCTAACAACAACAGCTGTTTCTCTTCATTTTGAGATGTGCCCCAGCAGCAAATGAAGGTCCTGCGGGCTTTATTACCACGGGCTTTACTCCATTTGCGTCATCACGGTCAACTCTACTTTGAGGAGGCAGCTCTTCCCCAGTTGCAATTTCAGTGACTTCCAACTTGAGGGTCTCATTTTCTGGCACTATATCTGACAGTGTTTCTCTGCTATTCATAAGGTTTTCAGTGACTAAATATTCGGAAGTAGTTCATCACTCCTTCTGGAAGCTCATATGAAACCTGTCCACCATGGGTGACCCTGTTGGCATTTAAAATACTGGTGGCATGGCTTCCAGAATCACAGCAACTCACAAGCCACCACACTACGACAAACTGACATATTAGATACTGGTTTTCATTGTGACTTATGGAGAATGTTCAGTCAAAGAAGGCTTTGGTACATTTGAGTATGAAGGAAATATTCTCATCTAATTAACCCTTATCCTGTTACATTGGTGTGGTGCTGTAGACTCAGCATTGGACATCGAACCAGAAAGTTGTCAATTCACACACACTAGCCACTTCTTGGAAATCCTATGAGTCTGAACTGACTAAACAGCACTTAACAACAACAACTCTACTCCAAGGATTCACATCTTCATCTGTTATCTTTTGTTGTATAACAAATTAGTTCAACTTTCATCACTTTGAAATAACAAATATGTATTAGCTAACAGTTTCAGTGGTTCTAGAAGCAGTTTAATTAGGTGATTCTGTCTGGCTTAGAGTCTTGCATGATGTTGCAGTTGAGATATTGGATGGGGCTGTAGTCATGAAGGCTTGTCTGGGGCTTGAGTATCGCCTTCTAAAAATTTTACTTCCAAGATGACTTACTCATGTGTCTGTATGTAAGAGGCATTAGTTTCTCACTGGCTAATGTCTGGAGAACTCAATTCCTTGTCTCACAAGTCTCTAAGTGTTCTAATAACATAGCAACTGGCTCTATCCTAGAATGAGTGGTCCAAGGGAGAGCAAGAGAGAAGCCACCATATGGTTTATTTCCCACCATCATTTCCACTACATTCTGTTCATTAGGAAGTCCTAAGTACAGCTCACACTCATGAAGAGGTGAATTAAGCTCCATCTCTGAAGGGGAAATAACAAAACTTTATGGACTTTTAAAAATAACCCAAACACATCACATTATTCTCTGGACCTTTTCTAAGACTCAGGAAGTTGTTACTTGTCTTACCTATATATTCAGCTTTTCATTATCTGCTGTTGTGTGCAGTTAAGTTGATTCTGACTCATAGCAACCCTGTATAGAATTTCCAAAGAGCAGCTGGTGAGTTTGAACTGCCAACTTTGAAGTTCACATTGTAGTGCTTATCCTATAGAATGACACAAGGATTCCATTTCTAGTTGATGATTTTTACCATATGAATGTGCTGAAAAATGGATTTTAAAAAAGTAAGCAAGAAATAAACATTTGTCTCTTGAGGAAGCAGTTCTCTAGCTATAATGCCCTCTTTCTTCTTTCTATTTTCTTCCATTCTGTTTAAAAAAGTAATCTACTACTTCATTCAGTCTACAACCTATTAGAATTTGGCTGTAACTTTTGTTATCACACTGAAAACACTTTTTTAGAATTCTAAGATGGAGATTGCTGTGAAAATGAAAGCATTATTTAAATAATATAATTATGTCTTCTAAGATTGAAGTAAAAATAAAATTTTAGTTATGGAAGTTAGGCTACTTTAATAAGATTGTTTAAAGTATTTTAAATTAAATCCTGTCATTTTATTCAAAATTGCTATTCACAATCTAGCAATTAATTAGAAGAAACTGTTTCAATCTTATATATGCATTAATATATATATATACACACTATTGATCCTTATGGAGTCCAGGTGTGGTCCTGTGGGCTAATGTGTCAGACTGCAGAGTCATTTGAACTGCAAGGTTGGTGGTTCAAACTCACCGGTTTGCTCCTTGGAAACCCAATACAGGGTCGCTATGGCTCAGAATTGATTCTATGGCATTTAACAATAGCAACAACATTTATCCTTATATGCAAATTTAATATCAAAATTTATTTTCTATAAAGTAATTTTTTTTTTCTTTACAGTTGGAGAAGATGGACAAATAAAAATCTGGTCAAAGACTGGGATGCTAAGATCAACTTTAGCTCAGCAAGGTATGCTTTATAATTATTATTATTTTTTAATTGTTGAATATAAAAATACCTTTACATTTTCCTTTTTTTAAAAGTAGTATACTAAAGTTATTGAGATTAGATGTGGTAAGGTTCCAAACCTAAAAAATCTTTTATTCCTATTTACACTTTTTCCTCTTACTTTATATGCTGCCTGTTGGGCCATGGTAGCCATATTATTTAGCCAAGAATTGTAACAGTCAAGGGCTTTCTTTCTATATAAGTTATTTTATGTTAGTCTTTTTCTTTTATATGTTAGTCTATATTGGGGCTATGGTTCTTTTCAGCTGTTGGTGTTACTGAGATATGCCTTTGTTTTCCTTTTTACTAATTTTTGCTAAGTTTATTGCCAACTGTAGCAATGGACAAGGACATAGCCACAGAGAAGCATCCTGCTGATATGAAGTGAGGGGAGATGCACAAGAACACCCAAACTTGCAGACAGTACCCATTTGACTTAGCCTCAATTGCTTGATAATCAGAGCTTGACTAGAGGAAGATTACCACACACACAAAAAAATTTGTTTTTGATAAAGGAAACAAGGGTAGCTTGTTATAATTTGATAAACTTGACCTATATTCATGGAGATAGTAACTTTAAATACTCTAAATACAAACAGAGAGGGAA